CAGAATATCTATGTACGAAAACAATCAGTAATAGTCTTCCAAAGTATCCAAATTGTAATGCGGAGTTTTTATCAAACGATTCTGATTTGGTTTAGCAGAATTTGGATCATATTATAGATTTTTCACAATTGTTGAAATTCTTTAGGAATTACGATAATATCAATTTTTGCTAGTTATTTTATTGTCCTAATTCCATAAAAATTCAGATAATATGCATAATAGTTGCAACTAATGTGTTTGGCTGAAACCCACATTCAACTATTTGCCGGCTAATACGAGGCTAAGAATTACTACATAAGTATTCTAAATATCACATGACAATAGTTTTGTTTGGACTGTTCAAACGCGTAAAAAAACATTTGATTTGTGAATATATAAGCCTATCTTGAACAGTTGAATGAAGAAAATAAAAAATTAGAGAGAAAAAGTAATCTCAGCATAAAGAATATTTCTCTAACAAAATCGACGTCTACGAATAATAAAAATTACATAAATTTCTACATTACAGACATTAGTAATCAACAAAAGAAGAATTTTAGCAAAAGCAATATCTTCAATTTGACTATTCTACATAAGTCTAGAATATTCCGAAATGTTCGTGGAAACCTCAATTGTTAAAACTCGTTTTCGAATTTTTAAATAGTGAATTTTTTAATGTTTGTGCAAATAAAAATTTATAAGATAGATGTCAACGATGATGAGTAGTAACGTATCGATTTGCCGCAGTTGTTATATAATCAATATTAAAAAACGTGGATGTAGGTGTTAGGTGGAGACGAGTGAGGATTCTGAGTGGATAGTTTGGTAGTGAATTCGTGATGGGTCTGAAAATATCTACTGATATTAAAATAATGGAATCGAGAATAGAGGTCGAAATTGTAACTAGGGCTACTTCATGCTTTCATAACAGAATACGATGAGAAAGATATAGTATGGTGCTTCGTAGAACTCGAAATTGTCTATTAAGAAGTGTGTAATTCGTGAACTTGTTTGAACAAGCTCAAATCAAACTCTACATAAATCTTCTCTAAAATTGCATACTTCAATCTTTTTTAATAATATACTTTGTTTGTAATAAGTGGATATGAAGATGACTGTCGGAATGCGATAATTGGATGATAGTTCAAGTTTTAGAACACTTCATGGCCAAGAAAAGACAAGAGGCTGTGTTGAGTATAGACAATAGAATTAGTATGGGACTGGAGATCTATTTGAGTGCATGGATACAAGATTACTCTGCAATTATGTACTCAGTCAAGGATCGAAACAAATAAATCTTGGGTGAATTGATAGACATCATCCACCTTTTGAAGAAAAGAAAATTCGGAATGTGAAACCATCAAAGAAGTATATCAAATGAAAGTTTGTTTAGTGTTGTCTACGGGTATATTTTAAAATAGTGCTTTTCCCAAGGGGAAAACAGCAGAGACTTCAGCCGTGAAGTCCCATGAAGTCTTGTAAGTCTTTTGAAGTCTTCTGAAGTCTCTTGAAGTCTCTTGAAGTCTTATGAATTCTCATAAAGTCTCTTGAAGTCTCTGAAGTCTGTGAAGTCTCATGAAGTCTCTTGAAGTCTCATGAAGTCTCTTGAAGTCTCATGAAGTCTCATGAAGTCTCTTGAAGTCTCTTGAAGTCTCTTGAGGGTGTGGGTATGGGGTGTGGGTGGGTGTGCATGTGAATGAATAATATATTATTACCCACACCCACACCCACCACACCACCACCCACATCATCATCCACACCCACACCATCATCCACACCCACACCCCACAACCTAGAATTTATACGAGAAAGAATGATTATTTATTCGCAAACGATTTGAATCTTGATAGAAGAAAATAGTGGAATGGTTAAAGTTTTAGGGTCTCAAGTATTAGTATCACGTCCATGCCTTCATACTTACACTAAGAATATTTTAGCCCTTTTAGTTCTTTTAGCATGTGAGTTTAAGTTTGAGCGTGCGTGTTCCCTTTACTTTTACACTCGCTAAAAGGTGAAAAGCTTGTCAGCGCAACTCTTTTGGGGCTGAAATGTAAAACTCACGTATGTTCTTCAGCTTCATTATATTAACACGAAATATAGAACGTATAAAATCAAGAATTTCTAAACTTTTTAATTTTCTGACGGGCGTCCTTATGTTTCGTTTTATTGTTGCTATTCGTTCAGTATTTTTCGTTTTTCACATTCTTGTTTGTCTTAATTCTATATTTGTTCTTTTTTATTATAAGCATTGAATTAGATGGTAAATGAAATTATTATATATGTATATATTTATTTATTTATCCATTATTTAATCCTCGTTGCTAAGGTCTGTAATGGGGAGTGTCTGTAATGGGGGCTGTCTGTAATAGGTAGTTGTCTGTAATGGGGGAGGGGGGAGTGGGTATGTCTGTAACGTTCTCTTTCTCCGTTGCTAAGTGTCTGTAATGGGGTGGGAGGAAGGGGGAGCCGCCAAACCTCGAACTGGAAACTTACACTCACTATTTTCTTCGAAAATATACGTGAGTTCCACAAAACAGACTTTTGGAACCAATCAATTTTCAATATCATTCCTGTTCGTGGTTCTCGGAAGACACTAGTTACTCTGTTATGAATAAGGGTGTCAATTTATATTTATTTTCCATTTAATTTACGCGTAAATTAAATGATAAATAATTTATATTTATTATAAAGTAAACGATAAATGACACCCCTACTATTTGATAAGTTTTGTTTTTTTGCATGTTATAGAGGTTTCATGTAATTTCTATGAGGTTTTTTGATACGCATGGAATCTGCCTCTTGAAGTCCTGTGAAGTCTTGTGAAGTCTTGTGAAGTCTTATGAAGTCTTGTGAAGTCTTGTGAAGTTCTATAAAGTCTTATGAAGTCTGATGAAGTCTTATAAAGTCTCAAGAAGTCCTACAAAGTCTCTGAAGTCTCATGAAGTCCGTGAAGTCTCACGAAGTCCGTGAAGTCTCAGAAGTCTAACGAAGTCTTTGGAAGTCTTTTGAAGTCCCGTGAAGTCCCATGAAGTCATACGAAGTCTTATGAAGTCTTGCGAAGTCATTTGAAGTCCTCAGAAGTCTTTAGAAGTCTTTCGAAGTCTTGTGAAAATATGAAGTCACAGCGGCTGAAGTCTGATGAAGTCTGTTGAAGTCTTTTGAAGTCTTGAAGTCCGCTGTTTCCCCCTTGGCTTTTCCACAATATTTTACAGAATTCGGTGAGTTTTCTAATTAGTGCCATGTTACAGCGTATTCAATTTTCTGTAGTACGAGCTTGATAAATTCAGTATTCGCTGAAAACCGAAGATTGGCGTTAGTATCTATGGTGCCTTCTCCAGTAATTACGATTTATAATGATCGCCATACTGCGCAAATAGAAATATTATTGATGTACTCTGTTCGATTTCTAAGTTATTCTGCAAGACAGTTTAATTTATCTATAGAATTTTTATATTGACTATGAGCTATGATATTCGACAGTGTTTCAAATTCCTTTATGCCTGGCAAATTTCATGAAGTATTGAGCACTTACCGACAAACTAGAATATATTGTATAACTTAAAAAAGCTACTCACAATTGGTGTTTACCATCTGACAAGATGTTATTACCAACAACATGAAAAGTAAAAAAAAATGACTAACTGCATCAGTTTGCAGCATGAAATGATTCATTCGCTGTTTTCTTCTGTTTTTTTTGGCTCGCAAAACAATTGCACCATACTCGAAAATTTTGTTTATTCTTATATTAACAAACGGTTGTAAGTACGAGCAGACAGAAATGGCTGAAGACGAAGCCAGTTGCTTGGTATTTTTAATGAACGAGAGTAGATGAAAGATAAACATTTGATTTGAGTCAATATTTTTCGCTGCCCTATTCACTACAATACCGTATGATGTTCATATTTACTTTCGAATAAAAACACTATTATTTTATGCGACTGAACGGGAAAGGATCTGCAACATAAGTCGAACATCGCTCTTAGAAATGAATGTTGACTGTGTTTCTACAATTAGACAATCCTTGGTATTATTATCATGCAATTTTTACATGTTTCTTAAAGCCTATATCTGAAAACTAAATCACTATAACAAAGTAATTTAGTTTTTTTGAATCCTGAAATTATGCGACGGATGTTTCTCTAGAGATACGCTAGACTCATCGCTTCTGATCTCTCTAAGATTCACAACCACATCTACAGCCTCATCAACATAGCAAATTCTCAGAATCGCACCTACACCCTCACTATTTGAAGAAGATGACGGCTACTGATATGGTTTGAGTGATTATGTGGACTACTCCTGAACAAACAGTCAAAACCAGTATCTTGCACGAACCGACACCCTCACATTCACCGTCACTCAATTTGTGTTGATACTCAAAAAGGGATTTTTTTAATGTCGCACATCATGAAAAAACGGTAAGTTTTTCAAGAAAGAAAAAATAAAAGTGAATACAGTATAATTTATGGCATCTACTTGCTCATGTTGTTTATGGACTTTTTTTCTTTCTTCCACTCATATGCATTCAAAATGTATTTTGCACAAATATATTTTTATGTAGAAAAATACAAAAACGTTACATAGCGACCAAATAAATGAAATGTATGAGTTCGATAGTTACCTACAATGAAACAATTCGATGTACATAATAAAATAGCTAAAGGAATCTGGTACGTTTGGATTTTATTTTGAAAAAAATTGACGAAATTTTTTCGAAATTATTATTTTCACTTAGCATGTATGGAGATATTTTAAGTTTTGTTTTGTGTTCAATTCTTGAAAGACCTGTCTAATCCTGGTGATATTCTTACTCTAATTAGAATAAAGACAGTTATACATAGGGTGAAAACTGCAATTTTCTATTGTATTTTTTTCTATTGACATGTGCTCCTCACACATACACACGCCCATAAAGATTTTTTTCAAATATTTTTTCATCTTAATGTCTAGTGTTCGTTAAAAACTAAATGCTCAACATCATATAAATACAGTTAATACAACAGAAAACGAAAAACATTTCATTAATTGAGAGTAAGACTTTGTTCAATTTGGCTAACAATTGACGAAATTGTATCTGTTAGCCATTGAACATCACGCATTGTAACAACAGCTTCATCAATAGCAAAGAAACATCTAATAAAATCAGATAAACATTTAACAGCTCGCTCGAAATCATATTTGTAAAGTAAATATTGCCATGTTAATTCAATATATGTATCTTGAATACGTAAGATTTCTTTAATATTTGATAAATTAACTGCAGGTATATTTGAATAGACTGTATAGCGAGTTGTTGAAAATGTAAGAATAACAAGAAATCATTTCATAATAATCATATCAAAATTAAGTCGACTTGCTATACGTTTAGCAACAGGTATTACATTTGAATGAGTAACCATTTCAACAACATTTAAATAAGTAGGACAATCCATTATATGAATTTTATAGATAATAAAATTCGACGAAAGACTTCCCGTATGTTTAAATGTATTATGAAGTAAAATCGAACGATCTCGAGCAGATAAAGAGAGAAAATCTTGATTTTTTGTATATAATGATTGACATGTATTTAATGACATTTCAATTAATTCCACTACTGATCCTTTTTTCCAACGTAATTTAAGTGGTAGAACATTTCTTGCAAGCATGAAACGTTTACCTATTGATAGTCCACTATGATCATCATAACAATGCGACAAATTTGAAAGCAAATTCCATTGATCAATAGTTAATGTCGATTGATCCGATTGTAAAAGGTTCAAAGTAGAAAACTAAACGACGAAAAAAAAAAAGAAAAGAACGACCATTTGTAGAAGATAGACAATTTATAAAAATCTATTTAACTAGTTAGTTCCCATGAAAATTACTCTTGAATCGATATTAGACGCCTTTTATATCCATAGTAATATGTTATGGAAAGCTCTAGAATGGTCGAGAAATTTTCTAAAATGTTTCAAAAAATTCTACAAAGTATTAGAGAGTTCTCGAACCTTCTAGAATTGTTCTGATCACATTATATTCCATTTGGTGACCATTGATTCGATAACAGACACTCGACATTATGTAATATATAAATATAGATTCTCTGTAGATAGACAATTTAAACAGCTTTGCCATTTAAAATGTGGACAAGTCAATTGATATTCTAATTATCTACTAACTTGATCTAGTTGAATTTCAAATCAAAGATCAATATTTAATTTGATTTATGTCATTGGAAACTAAGATGAAAATATTAGCAACAAAAAAAAATTTGTCTCGATTTAGACGTCATTCGAATCTATTTCAAACCATTCATTTACTTAATTTTATTTAATAGATGTTGGCTCATTGAACTCAATGATGAAGGAAATCGTCTAAAAATTTTTAATTTTTGTAATCATTCTATGAAGTAAAATACTTTCTATTGATTAAGTACATTTTTTGAGAATGGACAAATATATACTTTAGTAATAAGACTTATAGAGATAAAGTTTTCTTTTTTTGTTTTTCATTGAAAAATATTGTTCGTACGAATTTCATGAGAGATAACATGGAATGATGACTATTGTAAAACAAAAAAATATCCTCTTCTTCCCAATTCGATTCTCCAGTTATTATAGAAAAAAAAATTTCCACTCTAACAATTTCTTGACAAACTTCGAAAAAGGGATAATCATAATTTTTTTGTTTCCTAGAAGATTATAAACGATTGAAGAGAATAATGTATCAATCTTTAATAATTTTACTTATCCTAACAGTGTTCACATATTGAAGTATAATTATCAATTAGTGTTACCTGTTGAGGTTCATTTAATTTAGACAGAATTGTTGATGCTGTTTGTTGCGAACTGGTTATTAAGATTTTTTTTCGATTAGTTTTGTTTCTTTTTGGATGCGAAGATCGAATCAACTTAACTTGCATTCCACTATTTAAACATTTGATCAGTCGACAACAAGAACATATATGACGATTATTTATATTTATTTCACAATGACCATCATAGAGACATTTCAATATTTCCTAGAAACAAAATAAAATGAGTGAATATATAATTCAAAGAAAATCTATATTTTCAATTGACTTTTCCACGTTCACCATTTCGTTTGAAAAACATTTTACATGTATTACATGAAACTACGCCAAAAAATGAATATTTAGCAGGAGCTCCACAAATTTTACACTCAGTTTGTACTATTGTTGACTGTCGTTTTCTATTCGTAGAATTATTTGATAATGATTTTTCCATTGCAAAGATACGTTTTTTTTTATTGATTAAATCTAAAAAATAATAAACAAATCATATTTAGGATTATAACTTTCAAAATGAAATAGTCAAAAAAAAAATTTGAAATTTTATGAATTAATATTCAAAACTGTGAAGAATGATAATATGATTGTAAAAAACACAATTATTTTCTTTAGAATATTTTTTTTTATCTTTGATGAAAATCATGATTCATCTGATAGTTCTATATTTATTTTTATCAATATTAGACATAAACCTTCACATTAATGAAACACAAAACGGGCTAGAACAGAACAGAGAAAAAAAAGAAAAATATTTTTTTTTTACTTTCTTTCCGTAAAGATAAGCGTGGACTGCCGAGAAGTACGCATTTTGTGATCGTTAGGTTAAGGTCCAAAAACATCCATTCTATTTTTATTCAATCTTATTTATTTTTCCAATCATTAACGTTCAACTTAACATCATATTAATTTTGAATATTGATGCCCAATAAATAAATACAGAGGACTAATAGTTGCTGAAGTGAAATTCGTTTTCACTTTCAATCTTTTCTTTGTTGTACTCAGACATATTCTCTTCTCTATGCATATACACCTAAATCTCAAGTATATATCCTTGATCAGATGCTGAGCATATGACATATTCAATATTGGATTGTGAAGATGTAGAAACTTAAGTTATCAAAAATCAATTGGATATCATCATAGTGCTCTCGGTATTAATTGTGATAGTTACATACAAATTAGAAGACGCATCTCTATTCCTATTCAGTCTTAATGTACGTGCTGCTTCACCACTTTTCTTCGTTAAAACTTCGATAAAATCCGTTAATGAACTCTTCATGTCCAGATAAACAGTATAATTCTCATATAAGTATTAGCGCTACTGATCTCTTCAAATTCGAACAAATCTACCTGTTTGTTTGACATAATCGTTTAAGAAACCATCAAATTACTTGTCAATGCAGAACCTTATACTGAAAATGTGAAGGAATCGATATGTAACAACTCTTAAATAATATTTTTGTTCTTTTTTTTAGTCCGAAGAAGGTTCCTAGCATGCAATTTCTACACACACATATAAATATATATTTGTGGGACAATAATACGTATAGGACACGTTGTTTTTTCTTCTTATTCGATATAACCAACGACATAAACCTTTTAAACTTAGTAATTTTGTTGAACTTATAACTTTTCCCAACTATTTTTTATCAGGGCATTAAAAAAACAAGGGAAACAATTGTTCACGGCATGTTGGCATCTTGACAAAGTTTCAGGTATCTAGAAAATGACATTTTATATTGTAAAACGGCACCAAGTCCTGCGACTAGAATATAGGATTCATACAGTTGAATACTATGATGAAAAAATTGATATTTTTAGCAACAGAGATTAAAAAAATCAGCTGTTTCCTCCTCGGTTGAATAGATACAAGTTCATGATGGTTGTAGAAAGACAGACATTGTTTTTATCTATTAAAATCAATGCTTTATCAAAAATATCAGTCTGTTTTCAAAATCAATTAGTAAATATTACTTCAACATCTTCGCATTGCTTATTTCGACTTATGAAATCTATGGGTGAAGTTTATTTTATCAAGGTGATGACTGAGATCGATCCAAAAATTTCTTGGAAAAAAATAACTATTTTCAAAAAGATGGAGTCAATGATTGCTTTGTTTTTAGTTGGTTTCGAATGTGAGAATGAAAGTAATAAATTTGCATTATGATAATATTCTAAAAGGTCAAGATGGTTAACAACATGTTATTGTTGTATGTGGAAATTGTTTATCGTGAGTTGATCGACATCATTTCAAATTGACATGTGTCAATCTATTCCAAAGTTTGAAGAAAGATCGACATTGATTTTAATGAGATCGAGTCGAATAGCAAAATGCATCTTTTGATCGATAAATCTGTCACTGATACTCTTTGAATATTAAGTATATACTATTTGTTTTACTTGCTTTTAAATAGTGTGAGAACAGAAGAAACAAGTTATGCAATCGTCATTTATTTTCAATAGGAGAACACAAATAGACAAAGATTTACATAATATGATTATGATTATTCTCTTCAAATTCATTAGAGACTGTTATGTTTACTATAAAATCGAATAGACTGAAGAGCATTAACGGCGAACCGTATGGATGGAAATATGTTAGAAAGCATGATTTTTCTTAGAACTTATCGAAAATTCACAAAGGTAGCAGCTTTTCGAGTTTTTGTTAGTCCTCTCATTAACAATCTCTGACAATGCTCGAAGATTTATTCAATTAGTAAGACCTAATTCGAAGTGTTTCTTGATCCACATTTGTGAATCACTGCTAATAAGTCTTACGTAGTGTTTCGAGTAGCGACAAAGTCAATATCGACCAGCAAAATCGTATTGATGAATTCTAATACAAAGCTGTATAAAGCTTAGTTGTGAAAAGTGATATAATTAACGATTTCGATACACAATTCAATTCTTCTAGCACACATTTTGACCGAAGAACATACGAATTATTCTGCATGTCTTTGTCAAGAACGAATCCATATGAAACAGTTATATCCATCACAAAAGGTTTAAAAAAGATAAAATTTATCAAAAGGTTGATTGTATCGATATTGTTCAAACAAGTTTTTCTATGAAAATATTAACACTTTGTTTAATCAATGAGAATGTTCTTTTTTATTGAATTTTGACGATGATAACATTGGATTAATTATGAACTATTGCCATTTCCAACACTTTATAGTCACGTAAAGAGTCAAAACAATGATTGATATAGTTGTTTTGTATCCAATCTAAATGTAATGATCCTTGAGAATAAATTTTCTATCTTCTATAGATCGTCGTCGACTGATCTTCTTTTGATTATTGTAATCTGTTTTGGTACAGACATTTAAATGTATAGTAAAATGTTTCAATCAATCCAGAACATCACAAAGAATCGAACTGTCCGGTAAAGAATAGTTTTGTATTGTTTGTTTGAAATGTTTGCCGATTGAATTCATAAGAATAACTCGAAAGATATTAGGATATCAAATCAAAACAAAAATTGTGTAGATAACAAGACAAATCCTTTCTAGTTTCATATTACACATTCATTAGGAGAGGCTTTTAATCCCTTTGAATATATATCAAAATAGTAAAAAGAACATTGGCAATGAATTCAGAAAAGATTACAATCATAGAAATTTCAATGAAGTGTGTTCTGTTTGAAAAATATAAAGTTAATATTTCACCATATCCAAACAATAAATAATGAAACATTATTAACAATTTTCGATGAAAATAAGATTTTTCATCAGATAATGATCAATACTATTATTATGTGCATGTATCCTTTCTA